GTTTCCAGTTTACGCCTGAAGAGCTTTTCACGCCAAGAGGGTGCCTCAGCTTCATCCTGGTGGGGAGGACCTGGGGATGAACTGTCCTGGGGTGGTGCTGGTGGCTTTTAGCAAAAAGGCCTGGGATCGGCAGCCACACTCCTGTCACCCACAGGATGCAGCGCTATGTCTCCATGCCCAGGGAAAAGGCTGCAGAACACATCCCTCTTCTCTTCATTGCGTCCCCATCAGCCAAGGACCCGACATGGGAGGACCGATTCCCAGGTGGGGCTTAGGGTCTGGGTGGAGCCAGGAGCGGGAGAAAGGGACACGGGGGTGGGGAAGGGGCCAGGCAGCAGTGACCCTGGCTCTGTACCCACAGGTCGCTCCACGATGATAGTGCTGGTGCCCTCCGCCTATGAGTGGTTTGAGGAGTGGCAGGAGGAGCCCAAAGGAAAGCGGGGCAGCGAATATGAGACCCTCAAAAACTCCTTTGTTGAAGCCTCCGTGTCAGCCGTCATGAAACTGTTCCCACAGCTGGAGGGGAAGGTGGGGTAGTATATGCACTGGTGACGACAGCCCTCTTGGTGCCATTTCTTGCCTTTCCTCAGGACAGGGGGAGAAGACTTTACATAACTGAACCCCAGGGAAGGACAGGGAACCCCTCAGGCAGCCAGCTCATTCAGGGAGAGCATCAGAAGGAGAAGAGGCGAGGGTCTCACCAGTGCCCACTCCTGCCTTTGGCTGCCTGTTTTGCCCACTCAGGTGGACAGCGTGACTGGAGGGTCCCCGCTGACCAATCAGTTCTACCTGGCTGCTCCCCGAGGAGCCTGCTACGGGGCTGACCATGACCTGCGCCGCCTACATCCTCGAGTGATGGCTTCCATGAGGGCCCAGAGCTCCATCCCCAACCTCTACCTGACAGGTACACTGACTGACCACCCCATGTTGCCAGGACCTGAGCCCGTGGGCCTCCCTGCCACCCAGTCATCTGTTCTTGTGCTTAGGCCTGCGTCCCCTGCAGCTTCCCGCATCCTTAGCTGGGCTGCCTGTGGCCCTGCTCCTGGTCGGAAGCCCCCTCTGGACAGCCCTAGCATGCGGGGGGGTGGGACACGAGACCCCTAGCCCTCCCCCTTNTGCATGTGCGTTTATGTGTGTGTGTGTCGGGGGGTGTCAGCATGAGCCCAGCACCCCAGGGCCCCTGCTTCCCCTCTGGTGGCTGGGGAATAACAGCAGGATTTGCAATGGGAGGAGGTGGGCAGTTTCCAGTTTACGCCTGAAGAGCTTTTCACGCCAAGAGGGTGCCTCAGCTTCATCCTGGTGGGGTGGCCCTGGGGATGAACTGTCCTGGGGTGGTGCTGGTGGCTTTGAGCAAAGAGGCCTGGGATCGGCAGCCACACTCCTGTCACCCACAGGATGCAGCGCTATGTCTCCATGCCCAGGGAAAAGGCTGCAGAACACATCCCTCTTCTCTTCATTGCGTCCCCACCAGCCAAGGACCTGACTTCGGAGGACCAATTGCCAGGTGGTGCTTAGGGTCTGGGTTGAGCCAGGAGAGGGTGAAAGCGACATGGGGGTGGAAAAGGGGCCAGGCAGCAGTGACCCTGGCTCTGTACCCACAGGTCGCTCCACGATGATAGTGCTGGTGCCCTCCGCCTATGAGTGGTTTGAGGAGTGGCAGGAGGAGCCCAAAGGAAAGCGGGGCAGCGAATATGAGACCCTCAAAAACTCCTTTGTTGAAGCCTCCGTGTCAGCCGTCATGAAACTGTTCCCACAGCTGGAGGGGAAGGTGGGGTAGTATATGCACTGGTGACGACAGCCCTCTTGGTGCCATTTCTTGCCTTTCCTCAGGACAGGGGGAGAAGACTTTACATAACTGAACCCCAGGGAAGGACAGGGAACCCCTCAGGCAGCCAGCTCATTCAGGGAGAGCATCAGAAGGAGAAGAGGCGAGGGTCTCACCAGTGCCCACTCCTGCCTTTGGCTGCCTGTTTTGCCCACTCAGGTGGACAGCGTGACTGGAGGGTCCCCGCTGACCAATCAGTTCTACCTGGCTGCTCCCCGAGGAGCCTGCTACGGGGCTGACCATGACCTGCGCCGCCTACATCCTCGAGTGATGGCTTCCATGAGGGCCCAGAGCTCCATCCCCAACCTCTACCTGACAGGTACACTGACTGACCACCCCATGTTGCCAGGACCTGAGCCCGTGGGCCTCCCTGCCACCCAGTCATCTGTTCTTGTGCTTAGGCCTGCGTCCCCTGCAGCTTCCCGCATCCTTAGCTGGGCTGCCTGTGGCCCTGCTCCTGGTCGGAAGCCCCCTCTGGACAGCCCTAGCATGCGGGGGGGTGGGACACGAGACCCCTAGCCCTCCCCCTTCCCACCTGGTGGATGTTCATGGTCTCTGCTTCTGCCTCCTAGGCCAGGATATCTTCACCTGTGGGCTGGTGGGGGCCCTGCAAGGGGCCCTTCTGTGTTGCAGTGCCATCCTGAAACGGAACTTGTACTCAGACCTGAAGAATCTCAGCTCAAGGATCTCTGCACAGAAGAAGAAGAATTAGTTCCATCAGGCTGAGCCAGAGGAACCTGGCCGATGACCAGGGCACCTCCCCTGACCTATCTACAATGTCTTTCTGCATTCCTTCCTCATGCATATAAAGCCCTCTAATTTGGTTTTGATTTTTGAATCTCTGTGATTTGCTTAGGGTAAATCACAGTTCACAATCTGAAGCTCTTCCAGCTGGGGCAGGTGATCTTTTATATCTTTTATAATGTGGTATCCATGTTCAAAGGCCCGTTACCACTATTGACTGGGACAGCCCTTATGTCTCCTGAGAAGCTGGGTACCCATACTCCCTAATCTGAACAATCAAATTGAATATTCTTTTGGTCAGGCGGGTAGAACCCCTGGAAGGAGATGTTGGTCACTGAAGCAGGTTGGCCAGTGCTGTCCTGAGGCTTCTCCTGTCACTCTCAGTCCCCATCTAGGGAAAAGGGCGACCAATGAGGTTTTAGTCATAACCTGGGCATGGTTTTGGTTGTAGCGCCATAGGTTCAGAGGCTTCCAGATCCCATTTCTGCTGGTTCCAGTGGCTCTTTCAGAGGACAGGAAAGGACCGTGACAGGTACAGAGTGGTTCTGGAGGATAGGGGTAATGAGAAGACCTATTAGTTCTTAAGGTTCATGTCAAAACATAACATCCAATTGGTATCAACCAAGTCCTAGCTCAGCCTTCCGTATGATCGGGGTGGCATCTGGTTCTCAAAGTGCCAGCACCAAGACACCCTCAGGGAGCTCAGTACCTGAGCCTCAAGCCTTATCCTTAACCTGTGAAATGTGCGGGGAAGGGTGACATTGGCAGTCAGGGCACAGGCTGGCAAGGTGACTTCATGGGGGTTGGTGTAGGCTGAAGGAGCATTCCAAGCCCAGGGCATAGCAGAGAACAACCAAGAGGCAACAAATATGCCATAACAATGTCCCAGCTACCTCCTAGACTAGCACACGGGCTTCTGGTAGGGAGGTGTGCGGGTGGGGTTGAAACTGGTCAGGATGAGAGCATGGAAAGCCAGAGCATGTGTGCAAAGCCTGAGAGCAGCATTTGCTGCTTACTGGTGCATATATGATGGCTGGGTGGAAAGGTGCATATGGTTCAGCAAAATGGCCTTTTACTTACATTAAACTGAAGCACCAATAGCCTTATTTGAGTCTGTTTTAATGTAATATCAACCAATTTAATGATTTTATTCTTTAGTATTTGAAATTTTGGTTTCTCCTCAATGGCACAAAACCACACTCGGTTGCCATGTACAGAAGCTCAGTAAAACATTTGTTCTGAAAAATACTTATCACTAGACCACAATAAGGTTAAAAAAATAAACTTAAGTAATTATAGTTAAGTTACAAAAAGCTGAAAATACAAAACATTGCAAAACAGTGGCAATCTACTAAGTGCAATCGAAAAAGAAAGGAAATGGCTTCAGTAATCAACATTTATTGAACTGGATGGTCTTAGGAATTGAGGGACTATCTATGACAGTTATAGTTGTTACAAAAAGCTGAAAATACAAAACATTGCAAAACAGTGGCAATCTACTAAGTGCAATCGAAAAAGAAAGGAAATGACTTCAGTAATCAACATTTATTGAACTGGATGGTCTTAGGAATTGAGGGACTATCTATGACAGTGGGAGGGGCTGGCTTTGTTGGTAGTTTGAAATGCCATACAGCTCAGACCTAAGCCTTTTACAGAGGGGTTTCTAAATTGGGATATTTAGGAAACTCACCTCTGATTTGGGGAACTGGCTGAGTTGAGAGTCACTGTTGGCTCTGGATGTCCAGTTAAACTAAACCTGATAATCTCTCATTTCCCTCCCTGACATCTCTATTTGGATGTCTCACAGTCATCTTAAACACTGAAGCAATTAACCAGAAGCAAATTCATTTTCTATGCCCCTGTTAAAACTGGGTCCCCATTAATGTTCCTTAACTCAGTGAAAAGGCACTTCCTCAATTACCCTCCCGCCATATCCAATCCACTTTCAAGGCCTGTTGGTATTATCTCCCAAATGTGTCTCAATTCCAACCACTTCCCTCCATTCTCACTGTCCCTACGTTAGTCCTACTTGGACTATTGCACTGTCTCCTTGTAGGGGGTTAAAAATCTTGATTCTCATTTGATTTTTTAGACAGGGTTCTTTAGCTAAAAAACTTACGGGACAAAAGTCCTTAGCTAGGAGGCAATAGCCTACAGGTAGCAGGGTGAAATCTTATCTAATCAATTTTTTTTTTTTTTTGTCTTTTTTGTGACCGCTAAGGGGATCGCAACCCTTGGCTTGGTGTCCCCCGCACCGCGCTCAGCCAGTGAGTGCACCGGCCATTCCTATATAGGATCCGAACCCGCGGCAGGAGCATTGCTGCGCTCCCAGCGCCGCACTCTCCCGAGTGCGCCACGGGGTTGGCCCTTATCTAATCAATTCTAATCAAGTAAATGTTGATTCTCAGTTGATTCTTAGTATAGGGTTTTTAGCTAACAAACTTATGGGACAAAAGTCCTTAGTTAGGAGGCAAAAGGCTACAGATAAGGGGCAAGAGCCCATGGAACCAACTCTAATCACTGTTTAGGTATGGGATTGTATACTTTAATGATTTTAGAGTCAACAGGTGGCTGACATATCAATCTTAAGAGATTTTATTTAATTCATTTATTTATTTTTTCAAAAAGATGACCAGTAAGGGGATCTTAACCCTTGGCTTGGTGTTGTCAGCACCATGCTCACCCAGTGAGCTAACCGGCCATCCCTATATGGGATGAACCTGGGGCCTTGGTGTTATCAGCACCACACTCTCCCGAGTGAGCCAAGGGCCAGCCCAATCTTAAGAGATTTTAAAGAATTGCTGTAGGAAAATACGTGAGAAATGTTTGCCGAAGGGAAAACTTTTTGTTAATGGAAACTTAAGACACAATCACAGAATCATAGGAATGTAATGATTGTTTTAGCTGTTATATCTTAAAGATAATGATCACAGTGTAATTAGATTAACATTTCACTAATTACACTTTGGAATATCATGCTGTTAATTTAAATGATGTTACTATGTTCTGTTGTTTAAGCTATACTTAGCTATGGATAACTTTTGTCACATTGCCCATGTCTGTGTCCTTTCACAATGATTGAATCAATTGATTTTTCTTCTGAAACTTCCTTGTCTTTACAATAAAAACAGAAGGTAACTTTGAATGGGGTCTGTACCCAGTTTCTAACAGAGGAGTTGCTGAGGTGCAGTCCCTTTGGGCTTCTCATTGCATTCACGTTGCTTTGAGTAATCTTTTTTGAGTCTCCGTTACACAGTGAGAAGTGTAACATCTCCTAATGGATTCACTTGTTCTTTTTAGTGGCTGGCCAGTGTGGGGATCTGAACCCTTGACTGGTATTTCTAGCACCACACACTAACCAAGTGAGCAAGCTGGGGAACCCCTAACTGACCAACTTTTTATTTTTTTAAAAGATGACTGGTAAGGGGATCTTAACCATTGACTTGGTGTTGTCAGCACCATGCTCTTCCAGTGAGCTAACCGGCCATCCCTATATGGGATCCAAACCCATGGCCTTGGTATTATCAGCACCACACTCTCCCGAGTGAGCCACAGGCTGGCCCCCCTAAATGACTAACTCTTAAATCCACTCTTCCCTCCCCACTAAAGTAGATTCTTCTTAATACAATTAGAGTAATATTCAAAAACTCCCAAATCTGATTATATCTTTCCTCTACTTAAACTTCTTTAATGGCTTCTCATACTCTTAAAATACAAAATCCTGGGAATGTCCCAGGAGCTGTGCATGATCTGGACTCCTTTCCTCTACTGCCTAGTAATGTGTACACCAGGTCAGGCTTAATAATTTGAAATTCCCCTCCCCACACACCACCATTATGTCAATATCCTTAAATGTTAGTCAAACAAATTTATTTAGGGAGGATAAAGAGAATTTTCCTTTTACCTTTTTTTTTTGGCAGCTGGCAGATATAAGGATCTGAACCCATAACCTTGGGGTTATAAGGCTGCATTCTAACCAACTAAGCTAACTGGCCAGCCAAGGAGAGTTTTCTTTTAGAAACAGATTCATTTTCCAATTCATTTCCTTTAGCCAAAGCAGAGTCAAGTTTCTGACACAATTTGGTGAAAGATTTGTCTCTTCTCTGTGATTCTTACTCTCTCCTCAAGAATGAGCATGTGTGACAGAGCAATTTTCTTTCAACAGAAACATAGTTAGAAGCATATTAAATTTTAAATTTAAATAACAAAGTAAAACACTTGTTTCTGAAAAACTGTATTTATGCCATATACTATTCGTTGAAATTCTGAAGAATTTCCATTGACTAGATAGAACTGCATATCATGTAACCCAAAAGTTGTATTCAACAGACTACTGATGTGTGTTATTTCTCCTGGCAGCTGTACTCCTTTTTGGCAGGAGTGGGACCAGTTTACATTTCAATCGGAAGTTAATGGCATATTTTCTGTTGTATTTTTGTGCCCCAGAGAGATTTATGTTCTGGACAACTCCCACACCATTTACTCCTTAATCTGGCTGTGCTCCAGCCATATTCCCTGCCGTTCCTTGTTCTCTGTTATCTGACAATCTTGGCCTTTAGACCTACAAAAAATATCAGGTTTCCACCTGCCTGCAAGCCATTGCAAATGGCTCATCCTTCTCTTCCCTTTGCCCCCACTGGGGGGGACATACCTACTACCTTTGGTCCTCAGCTCAAGACTCCTTCCTCAACTGATCTCAGTTTCTGTACTTTTCTTTCTTGGCAGTTCTTGTAATGCATCCCTGTGCGCGAACACACACACACACACACACATTCATGTAGACATTTAATATTTATGTACTCTACTAGACTACATGCTCCTTGAATTTAAGGCCTAGCATTTTTAAAATCACTGTCTACAAAGCACCTAGCCTGGCAAATGGTTATAAAATGATTTCAAGAAACACATTTAGTGTATAAACATAACAGTAACAGTAAACAGGATACAAAAGTATTTGCCCAGTGATCCCTATTTATGAAGAAAATAAATATGCATAGGAAGTGAGAAAATGAGAAAACGCACTAAGGAGGGGAAAATAAGTAAATTTGTATGTTTTTTTTAAAAACTAGAATGGGCTGGCCGGTTGGCTCAGTTGGTTATAGTGCGTTGTTGTGACTCCAGAGTCAAGGGTTCAGATCCCCTTACCTGCCAGCCGCCAAAGCCAAAAAACAAAAAAACTACACGGAAACAGTAAACTAATATTAAGTAGTAAACTGTGGAGAAGGGAGCAAGGATTTTCTAATTACACTTTTTCAAAAAATCTCAGTTTGATTTCTGAACCATTAGAATGTATTATTACCTAATTAAAAACATTAAGTGTCTGCAGGGCAGAAACACTGTACACTAAAACATTAATAGTGATTATCCCAGAGTGGTGGGACTAACGTTTTGTTTTCTACTTCTATACTTTTATGGTCAGAAAAAGGACGCACTTCTTAGAAAAGATCTTTGGCACCTCGGAGAGAACCGTTTCCGTGGAGTCAGGGGGGAGGAGGGCCGGGATGCGAAGGCTACGCCACGTAGGTGATGGGAAGGGTTTGTTTCCAGCTGGGAGAGAAGTGAGCACGGCACGTTTGTGGGCTGTGGGGAAAGAACCACAAGGAAGGGAGAGGTTAGAAATGCGAGCAGAGGGTGGGGCGAAGAGGCGCCTGGCCCCAGCAACCTCCCTCCCGCGGGCCGGGGCGCGAGGCGAGGGAGCTACTGCTTGGCCTGTATTGTCTCGGAAGTACAGGGGGAGAGAAGGAAAAAAGGAGTGTCGGTCTGTTGTGGCCGCCGCGGAGAACAGACTCGAGAAGAGTAGACTCGCGTCCCCCGGAAAATCGTAACACAGCACCACAGAGACAACAACAGAGAACGTCCCAACGACGGTCCCCCAAGTAACGCCCTCATCTAGGCGGGGCTGCGCGAGGTGGGAGGTGCGCACAGGAAGGGGCGGGGCTCCGGGCTCGCAGCCCCGCTCACGGATCTCGCGAGAGCTATAGAGGGCGGAAGCGCAGTCTGGGCAGGATGCGGTTCCTGGTTGCGCTGGTCCTGCTGAGCGTCGCGGTGGCGGGTAAGACCCCCCAACCCATCCTACTCTCTCCCCTAGGCCCACCATTCTCCCCTCGGCCGGTCGCCATCTGGGCTCGCTTCTTCCCTGCCCGACCCACCCCTCAACTCACCATTTTCTTCCCCCAGTCCCCCCGTCCCCCGTTCGCCTGTCTCCTCTGATCTCTTCCAGCTCTAAGGAGTCCCCTTCTCCCAGCCTGCTCCTCCCCAGGGCTCATTGGTTTCTTTATTTCAGGAGTCCCGCCGGCCAGTCCGCCTCCCAGTTCGACGGGAGTAAAGACTGAAGGTCCGCCTACTACTGGAACGTACTCCACCCCGCCCGCCTCGAGCCAGCTGCCTGAGGAAAAACGTGCGCAGGAAGATTTACCCTCTCACAATCCGTCTTCCACGAACGACAGCTCTAGCACGTCGGGTTCGGGGCGGCCGTCCTCCCAAGGAAACTCCAGCACGTCGGGTTCGGAAGGGCCGTTCTCCCAAGGAAACTCCAGCACGTCGGGCTCGGAAGGGCCGTTCTCCCAAGGAAACTCCAGCACGTCGGGTTCGGGGCGGCCGTCCTCCCAGGGGGACTCCGGCACGTCGGGTTCGGGGCGGCCGTCCACCCAGGGGGACTCCGGCACGTCGGGTTCGGGGCGGCCGTCCACCCAAGGAAACTCCGGCACGTCGGGTTCGGGGCGGCCGTCCACCCAGGGGGAGTCCGACAAGTTGGATTCAGAACAGCCTTCCTTAGGAGAAGATAAGTCTTCAGAGCTTACCGAAGATATGGAGCCCAAGGAGGCTGAAGATGGTGATACAGGGCCTGAAGAGGGCTCACCACCCAAAGAAGAGAAAGAAAAGATGTTCGGCCCTGCCTCTGGTGAGAACCGAGAAGGGACACTTTGGGAATCCATGAATAGCGAGAAGGGTGTCCTTTATAAGGACAGTCCTGGAAGTGCCAGTGCAGAGAGCAGCCACTTCTTTGCATATCTGGTAACTGCAGCCATTGTCGTTGCTGTCCTCTATATTGCCTATCACAACAAGCGCAAGGTAAGTCAAGAGTTGCCTTGGGGGGAATGGGATTTCTTCCACCCTGAAAGTTTGGTGTATGGGTGGGTGTCCATCACTCATCCACCTGTGCGCTCTGGGGATTTTAAGACAAACTTCAGTTTTCCCGCAGACCCTGCTAGAGCTCTTTACTCTTGTTTTGTAAATCATGTGTTTTCATCATGTCACCTGTTTCCTCTCACTGTCCTCTGCTGCAATAGGTGCCAAGTTAAGACATTATTATGACCTGACCTGAAGTGAGATTTCCTCAAATAGCCTTAAACTTAGATCCTTTACAGCCTGGGGGGACCTGAGTTCTTGATAGTTAGGGCCCTTATCCCCCTGTTTACATTCTTGAGACAGTGCATCATTTCTAGCTTCCTTTCCCAACCTTCTGTCTTCCATCTGCAGGGGCAGAAAGAACGGTCTCAGTTACTTAGTCTTTGATATCAACAGCAAAGAGCCCAGGTACTCTCTTCTGCAGTTAGGGATAATTAGAAGAAAGCCCAGAAATCACACAGACACATACACTTTTACTACTTTAGTAGGATTTGGTGTGAAGTAATATCTGTGTCCCTTAGCCACTACTCTAACGACAAAATTGCATTTCTTATTGAGTCCTGACAATTTAAAAGGTAGTTTGTGTAGCCTGCTTAAAATGAGAGAGTCCAAAATAAATAAATAAAAACAAAAAGAACAACAAAAATTTTTTTAATAAAATAAAATTGGAGGGTCTAATTCATGATTGGCCATAAGGCTATGAAGAACGAGGGAAGACCTTTAGTAAAAAGGTGCATTCCTTATTCTACATCCAGTGTTCATCATGGAGTGTAACCTCAGAAGTGAAATGGAGAGTGGTAAAGTTAAAAGTGCAATTGTTGATGAACCAAAGTGTGTGTGAAAGAGTACATTTGCAGATAGGAATTAATTACTGATTATGACTTAAAAAAACAAAGAAAAAAGAAATGTGCTATCCTAAAATTGTCTGGGGAGGAGTTGGCAGATCTTTGAGTACTCTTGAGTAAATCATACAGACTCCCCACAAGCTAGAGCCCAGAACAGCCGTCCTTCATGTCTTTCCTTTTAAGCAGTATAAAGGATTCTGATGTAATTATGCCCTGTCCTTAAAATCATTATAATTTAAATAGGCCTCTTTGTGGGTGTATGGCTGTTTCTATAGTTAGGATCATTAACAACTGTACTACCAGGTGACTACCTCTGATTTCAGGGACTGAAATAGGTTATTACAGAGCCACCTGTTAATCATGCTCTTTTACCTTTCCCTAGATTATTGCTTTTGTCCTGGAAGGGAAAAGATCCAAAGTCACTCGGCGGCCAAAGGCCAGTGACTACCAGCGTTTGGACCAGAAGGTAAGGAGGGAGAGGCCAAGTTCACTGGAGGGATAGGCAACAAGAGCTCTTATTGGCCCAGCAGTGAGCTTGCATTAGGCATGGCAGCAGCAGCCATTCTAGCAAACTAGAAACATCCATATATACATATCTGTCATGATAGAGCGAAGAGACCTTCACATACTCTACAACAGCTCCCTCCTCCAACAGGTGAAGAAAGTTGCCCATCCAGAAACATTGTGACTTTTTTCCCCTAAGTTAGTGGCACTACCTACAAGTTTCACTACAAGTTAGTGGCAGAATCAGGACCTGATAGCAACTCCCTAGACTCCCAGTCCTGTGCTTTTGCATTACACCAGAACGTCACAGACTTTAATAGGTGTAGGAATCACCTTGGGAACTGTGAGAAGAAGCAATGTCTGACTCACTAGTTATGGGGTGGAGCCTATGTTTCTACATTTCTGGGATGTTCCCAGGTAATGCCAAATGCTGCTTGAAACACACTTTAGGTAGCAAAGCACTAGAATGCACTCCCTGGAAACAATTGCAGAAGCACATAGGCCTCCAACTCCTCAGCTCAGCCCTGTGGGCTAGACCTCCTTAGTGCAGCCATCATGCATCTGCCAGAGAGAAAAGCCCTCCTTCTACCCCACAGCAGCAGTTGCTGAGCAAGGTTCCCCCAAAGATAACCTGTCTAAGCACTGAGTTGCCACCAGCGTATACCCTTCCTTCCCTCTTCTGTTTAGCAGCAGGGAGGCCATTGGCAAAGAACAGTCAGTGGCTGGTGAATTGTTCCTAGACTTCGTGCAGGGAATATAATTCACTTCTACAACTCATACCAGCTATGGAACAAGCCACTTAGCTCAGAACATCTTTGCTAACTAGCCTAGTAAGTCGCTTCACAATTTAGCCTTGGCCTACTACCTTCCCAGATAATTGACTTTAAGGATTTCCCCCCATCCCCATTACAATTCCTTTCCTCATTGAAAAAAAAATACATATGTAGATAATTTAAAACATATAGAACAGTATGGCATAAAAGCCAGGATTCCCACGTTCCCTCCGTTGACTATATCTTTCTAGTGTATGTTTTGTATTTTGAACTGACCTTAAAAGTCATTTTGTGTGCTTTTATTTTTATTAATTTCTGTTTGTATGTCAGTGAATTAGTTTGTCTTAATTGAGTTTTTCCCTGAACCGCAGCTCCTATAAGATCTTTTTTTTCCCAAAATTATTCCCTTGGAAAAAAATGAATGTTAACAATGGATTGTGTTGCTCTCATTTCAGCTTTGATTTTTTGTCCTTGAAAACCTTGTCCTCCCTGCTGATTTGTTTCTAAATCAAGAAAAATGAAGAGAAAAGTACTGTGACCTAAGAAACACTTCTCCTCTGGGGTTTGGTGGCAAGTCTGGGCTAGCAGAGGCGGGGGGGTTGTTTTGAGTTTTGCACCTGCACTTTGGTGACACTGTACTCCTATGTTTTCTTTATTTATGCTGATGACTTCCCTCCTTTCCTCCTGAGTGTGAGTGGAGGGAGCATGTGGAAACATGGCTATGACCAAAGGGGGATCCCAGCCCTGGCAGAGGCTACATTGCTGATCACCCTCCCTTGGGCCTTGACTCTATCTAGTAAAGTTTGCCCTTGACTGTGGCATTGCACTCTCTACTATTTTATCTTTGCAGACCTAGGAGACAACTCTGCAGGTAGAGGTGCTTTTCTACTAAGGCCTTTTACTTTGGGGGAATGTGCCCTGCAAAAGATGTCGAGGATTGTGAAATGTTGATGGGCAAAGGGTGACTTTGAACACATAATTCTCTCCCGAGGCTTCAGCAACAAACAAAAACAGCAGGTTAAAAAAGTGCTTTCTTGCCTGCAAGTCTAACCTGTCTAGCATGAATTCCTCATGTTTTTGATGTTTCATATTACTTGAGACAAAGTGAGTCCACTTCCATTTGTTTATACTGAGCATAAAACTGAACTTAGAGTTTTTGGAGGTTAAGCCACTGTTCCCAACACAGATTTTTTTTTAAAATGGGGTTATCATCATTGAAACTGTGTTTTTTCATACAGTCATACTCAACAGGAACTTTTTGAAATAGGGCAATTTCATGCTTCAAGAAAACATGTAGGAGGGTTTTGGTTTTGTTTCACATTTCTTTCAAAGGGCTTTTATGAAACAGATTTTCAAAAACTCCATTTTGCCTTTGTTGCCTAAGATAGACTTAACGTTTGGAAACTAACTGTATTCTCTGACCATTTTTACCTTAATCTATTTAATGATCCTCTTATCTGATATAAGATGCCAAGGTAATTAGTAAGAAATTCTACTATCCCAAGTTAGGAGTTAAAAGTTCAGTGGATTCCCCTGTAATAACTGAGGGTAGTGTCTTGGATCACAATGTTGTTTGAATTTTTATTTAAATCTGTTCTAGTCATGCTACCCTATTATAAAGAGCCTAAAGACAGTTGTTTCTGAGCTAATCTTGGGGAAATACAAAGAATGGGGGAGGTGAGGGAAATAGGTGAATTCTGTGCTGTTGACGAAGTAAACCTGAAGAAGGGACCATCCTGATTGTCTTATTATCTTCCACCTTGCTTAAAATAGCTTATGGCTTTGAGTTGAAATTTTCATTCTTGGCAGGTAGCCTAGTTTATGGAGGTAAGGAATGAATGCCTACTCTTGTTGACATCATTCTCTCTACTTGTGTACTAGTCTTTTAAAAGACGATGACTGGTAAGGGGATCTTAACCCTTGACTTGGTGTTGTCAGAACCACACTCTCCCAAGTGAGCTAACTGGCCATCCCTATATAGGGATCCAAACCCGTGGCCTTGGTGTTATCAGCACCACACTCTCCCAAGTGAATCACAGGCTTGTCCTTACTTGTGTAGCAGTCTTATACTACTTTCCTCCAACCTGAGAAATCTATCTGGCTCCTCTAGCATTCCCTAAGACTATGGTTATTTTAGTCCTCTCTCTGTCTCCCTTTTCCCTGCCTTTCCCCCTTCTTTTTTTTTTTTTTCCTTTTTGTCTTTTTTTCGTGTCCGGCAACGGATCACAACCCTCAGTGTCGCGCCCGTACTGGACCGGGACCGGCAACGGGATCGCAACCCTCGGTGTTGCTCCCACACCTCGCTCAGCCAGTGAGCGGGAACCGGTCTGTATGTGGGATCCAAACCCTCAGCGGGAGCGCCACCACGCTCCCAAGCGGCGCACTGTAGCAGTGCGCCACCGGGCCGGCCCTCCCCCTTCTATTTGTGCCTATCCACACTAGCATCTTCTCCTTCCTTCATGCGTGCTCAGATTTCCCCTGCTCCCATCTGTTTATTTGTTATTCATTCCACTGTGAATTTCTCCAGTTAATGGTGCTTCCATTACTGGCCATTCATTCTCTTCATGACCATTAGGAACTCACTTTGGTCCCTGTCTTTCTACTATTTTTCCAGTGGTTACCAGTTATCAGATCACCAAATCCAATGGCTTGTTCTCAAAGCTTAGTTTTGCCCTTGGTAGAATTGGACACTTGAACATCCAGATTGAGATTCCCCTTTCTTGGTTTGTCTATGACAAACTGTCCTTTGCTTTATCCTATGCTGGTGAGTAAGAGGGCTGTCAAAACCAGGTCTCTCTATTGATTCTCTGCTCTGAAATTCACCCATTCTTCATCTTCTGAGTAAGTGACTCCCAAGTCTTTCTCCTTGGTGTACTTCCCAGAGAACCCAGTCCTGCTCTTTGCTGAATATTTCAGCATGGTTGTCCTGCTGTGACTAAACTGAATTTCTCTCTTCTACCCATCAAGCTGTTCTTTGCAACTGCCCAATTTCTTCAATTACCTGAACTCCAAACTTATACCATTTCTCTCTCATCACAAAAGTCCTATCCATTAAAAAGAAAAGAAAAATCTCTAGCTATAATCTTTCTTTCCATTTTCCTAGGTTCCCCTGTCCCACACCTTCACCCATTCCACTTCTCTCCTGGGTTTTTTTTTTTTCCAGGAGCCACTTCAATTGGTGTACCTGTCCATCTTCTTGGAAAGAGATCAGACATGGAAAGATTGACCTTTCCAAAATGCATGCCCTGCTCTGAAGCTTGTCTGTACCTCTCATGGCTTAGAGAATCCAGTTATAGACTCTTTGGTGCTCAGGACTCTGACACCTTCCTGCTTTTCTCTGCATCCCACCCAGGCCAAAGCCCATTTCTGTTGGGTGCCCATCTGTGCCTCTGTGCCTTTATTCTTGCTGTGTCATTCATTTCCTGGCTTCCTACGTTTCTTTGGTTAGGTGGTTGTTCTCTCTCTTGCCTTCCCCAAATCTACATTTCTTGAGGGCCCAGCTCACGTTTTCCCTTATACTATCCCAACTGCCCCACCCCCACTATTGGTCCTTTCCATTCTGCTCTACTGGCCCTTGATAATGGCAGTCATTCATTTCGAAACTTCAGCAGTTGGTATGTAACATCTGGTCTCCCAAGAAAACTAAGCTCTTGAGGGACAGCCTTTGGCACTGTCTTCATATCTGCCTAGGGTAGTAACATTCCTTAGGGACGTCAGAAGGCAGAGATATTTTATTTCCTCATGACATCTGGATATAACTTAAACGAATGTTCACACAGCTCTTTCTGGCTACTGGTTGCTGTGACCATAACATGTTGCATTTTGCTCTTTAGAAAAGTAGAGAAGGATTGGTCTCAGGAATCAAGAGGGTTAGCACCAGGTGGATGCATAAGTATTATCAAGGAGTCCACAAAGCTTAATATTTTGAGCCTCTGAGAAGTATCATTTCTTGTGCTAAAAGAGTTCAATAGAATTTAAGGTTCACTTTAGAAATTGCACTAAAGGAAATATTGCACATCAAAGGAAAACTTATTTTCTGGATAGTTGTCTTTTTGAAGATAGAATATTTGAAGCATATTTTCCTGGAGAATATGGGGATGAGGGTGAGCTGGCTGAAGCATCTCTCAACAGGCGGGTGGAGGGGGTTGGCAGGAGGTTGGCGTGTGGGAAGTCCATGGAGCCATAAGAGGTACCATAGCAAAGGGTTTCTTGTCTTTCCCCACCTTTTGGTTGAAGGGTGATTTTTATTAAGAGGAATCTGTTTTAGTCATGACGTTAATAGAGGAACTTGTTTTCCTGCTACAGGTTACTAAGTAGAATTATTTAGACTCCACTTTTGGATTCTGGAGTCAAATGGCTCTCTGTCTAGAAAGGATAAGATAACTTGCAAGAGCTCACAGCTAGCTTTATATACTCTGACATATTTTACCCATGATGGCTTTTAATGAAACATTTGGTGATAGAATTCTCAACCTCTAAAATTCCACTGCTGGTGATGCTCATTTCCCTCTGCAGTCCTGTTTCACAGGGTCACTCGATACAAAATGCTGTAATGAAAAGGTAGCACTCTGTGCACGTTATGAGTCACTGGAACATGCTCCAGGGTGTGCTGCACACCAGATCCTCTGCTCTGCCAGGCTGTTTTCTGAAAACCCTTTCTGGGAAGGTTGAGTTTGGCATTGCCTTCCTCAGTTAAGAATCCTCAGAGGAGATATTCAGGTTGAAATTAACTGGACATCCAGAGCCAAGAGGGACTCTCAACTGAGCAAGTTTCACAAATCAGATGTGAATTTCCAAAATATCCCAATTTAGAAACCCCTCCATAAAAGGTTTAGGTCTGAGCTGTATGACATTTCAAACTACCAACAAAGCCAGCCCCTCCCACTCATAGAAAGTCTTTCAATTCCTAAGACGACCGAGTTCAAAAAATGTTGATTACTGAAGTCTTTTCCTTTCTTTTTTGTTTGCACAGTTAGTAGATTGCCACTGTTTTGCAATGTTTTGTATTTTCAGCTTTTGTAACTTAACTATAATTACTTAAATTTATTTTTTTTAACTTTATTGTGGTCTAATGATAAGTATTTTTCAGAACAAATGTTTTACTGAGCTTCTATACATGGCAACTCAATGTGGTTTTGTGTTATTGAGGAGAAACCAAAATAAATTTCAAATACTAAAGAATAAAATCATTAAATTGGTTGATATTACATTAAAAGACTCAAAGAAGGCTGTTGGTACTTCAGTTTAATGTAGGTAAAAGGCCATTTTGCTGAACCGTTTCCACCTTTCCACCCAGCTATCATATATGCACCAGTAAGCAGCAAATGCTGCTCTCAGGCTTTGCACACATGCTCTGGCTTTCCATGCTCTCATCCTGACCAGTTTCAACCCCACCCCCACGTCTCCCTACCAGGAGCCCGTGCGCTAGTCTAGGAAATAGCTGGGACTTTGTCATGGCACATTTGTTGCCTCTCGGTTGTTGTCCTCTGCTAAGCCCTGGGCCTCGAATGCTCCTTCAGCCTATGTCATCCCCCATGAAGTCACCTTGCCAGCCTGTGCCCTGACTGCCAGCATCACCCTTCCCCGCACATTTCAGAGGATAAGGCTTAAGTCTTAGGTACTGAGCTCCCTCGGGTATGTGCGCTGGCACTTCAAGAACAGGAGCCACCCTGATCATATCGAAGGCCGACCTAGGTCTTGGTTGACACCAGTTGGGTGTTATCTTTTGACATACACTTTAAGAACTAATAGGTCTTGTCATTATCCCGATCCTTGAGAAGCACACTGTGCCTGTCATGTCCTTTCCTATCCTCTGAAAGAGCCACTGGAACCAGTAAAAATGGGATCTGGAAGCCTCTGAACCTGTGGTTCTACAACCAAAACCATGCCCAGGTTATGACTGAAACCTCATTGGTCACCCTCTCCCTCGATGGGTAGACCTCTCCATGGCAGCACTGAGAGTGAAAGGAGAAGCCTTGGGACAGCATTGGCCAACCTGCTTCAGTGACCAACACTTCGTTCCAGGGGTTCTACCCACCTGACGAAAAGAATATTCAATTTGATTGTTCAGAGTTAGGGAGTATGGGTAAGGAATAAAGAGCCCAGCTTCTCAGGAGACACCAGGGCTGGCCCAGTCAATAGCCGGGAATGGGCCTTTGAACAAGGATAGCACGTTATAAAAAGTATAAAAGATCATCACCTGCCCCAGCTGGAAGAGCTTCAGATTATAAACTGTGATTTACCCTAAGCAAATCACAGACCTTCAGAAATCAAAACCAAATTAGAGGGCTTTATATGCATGAGGAAGGAATGCAGAAAGGCACTGGATAGGTCAGGGAAGGTGCCCTGGTCATCGGTCAGGTTCCTCTGGCTCAGCCTGATGGAACTAATTCTTCTGTGCGGAGATCCTTGAGCTGAGATCCTTCAGGTCTGAGTACAAGTTCCACTTCAAGATGGCACTGCAGCACAGCAGGGCCCCTTGCAGGGCCCCCATCAGCCCACAGGTGAAGATATCCTGGTCTAGGAGGCAGAAGCAGAGACCATGAACATCCACCAGGTGGGAAGGGGGAGGGCTAGGGGTCTCGTGTCCCACCCCCCCGCATGCTAGGGCTGTCCAGAGGGGACTTCCGACCAGGAGCAGGGCCATAGGCAGCCCAGCTAAGGATGCGGGAGGCTGCAGGGGATGTAGGCCTGAGAACAAGAACAGATGACTGGGTGACAGGGAGGCCCATGGGCTCAGGTCCTGGCAACATGGGGCGGTCAGTCAGTGTACCTGTCAGGTAGAGGTTGGGGATGGAGCTCGGGGCCCTCATGGAAGCCATCACTCAAGGATATAGGTGGTACAGTTCGTGGTCAGCCCCGTAGCAGGCTCCTCGGGGCGCAGTGACATAGAACTGATTGGTCAGTGGGGCCCCTCCAGTCACGCTCCACCTGAGTGGGCAAAACAGCCAAAGGCAGGAGTGGGCACTGGTGAGACCCTCGCCTCTTCTCCCTCTGCTGCTCTCCCTGCATGAGCTGGCTGCCTGGGGGATTCCATGTCCTTCCTTGAGGCTGTAATGTCAAGGTTTCTCCCCACGTCCTGAGGAAAGGCAAGAAATGGCACCAAGAGGACTGTCGTCACCAGTGCATACATTACCCTACCTTCCCCTCCAGCGGTGGGGACAGTTTCAGGATGGCTGACACGGAGGCTTCAACAAAGGAGTTTTTGAGGGTCTCATATTCACTGCCCCGCTTTCCTTTGGGCTTCTCCTGCCACTTCTCAAACCACTCATAGGCGGAGGGCACCAGCACTATCATCGTGGAGCGACCTGTGGGTACAGAGCCAGGGTCACTGCTGCCTGGCCCCTTTTCCACCCCCATGTCGCTTTCACCCTCTCCTGGCTCAACCCAGACCCTAAGCACCACCTGGCAATTGGTCCTCCGAAGTCAGGTCCTTGGCTGGTGGGGACGCAATGAAGAGAAGAGGGATGTGTTCTGCAGCCTTTTCACTGGACATGGAGACGTAGCGCTGCATCCTGTGGGTGACAGGAGTGTGGCTGCCGATCCCAGGCCTCTTTGCTCAAAGCCACCAGCACCACCCCAGGACAGTTCATCCCCAGGGCCACCCCACCAGGATGAAGCTGAGGCACCCTCTTGGCGTGAAAAGCTCTTCAGGTGTAAACTGGAAACCGCCCACCTCCTCCCATTGCAAATCCTGCTGTTATTCCCCAGCCCACAGAGGGGAAGCAGGGGCCCTGGGGTGCTGGGCTCATGCTAACACCCCCCGACACACACACACATAAACGCACATGCACACGCCTTACGCCTTGTCCATGGCTGTGTCATAGTAAACATAGTAGTTGGTGGTCTGCAGACCCAAGTCCTCCCTGGTGCCTCGGAGGCAGATGAAAACAGAGAACATGCCCAAGCCAGGCCGCACCATCCCCAGCTGCTGCTTCACACCTGCAGAGGGAGTTGGGAGGACTGGGAGATGCTGGCCACAGACGGCTGCACCCTGCTCCAGGACAGCCTCTGAAGACCGCTTCCTCCATCTGCAGCCTCAGCCTCAGCTGCCAGGCTACGGCCCAGGCCATTATGTCAACTTAAACTTGGCAGGGCCTGCTCCTCTCTTCCTGCCAGTGCAGGACGATCCTGAGCCACTCCCAGCCACCTGTACTCTGAGCACCTTTCTAAGCAGGTGTCACCTAGCCCCGGGCCTCTAGCTCCCTCGCTGGCTCGCAGCACCTGCAGGACAGGCAGGCAGGCTGCCTCCAGTAGTCCCCTGTGTCTATAACTAAACGAGTGGGTGACAGGGCTCTAGCTGGTAAAGACAACACACACTACCAGGAGTTTGTCATAGCCTTGATTTCAGTATTAACTTTCATACAAGCCATCCAATGGATGAATGTACATAAGTCCTCGTGTGCCGCACAAGGTAAGTCCTCGTGTGCTGCACAAGGGAGTACGGGCCTCCAAGTGACAAGCAATGTATGGGACCAGAAGGAAGTGCCATTACTGGCACTCAGCATTTCAGGATCCAGCTAGAGGGCTGAAGGAAGATCAGCACTAGGGAGGAAAGCAACAGCCCTGTTCTGGCCATCTGATGTTCCCAGACCTAAGCAGCTGGGCTGGCCCAACTTCAACAGTTGACCCCAGACCAGTTTTCTGGAACCTTCGCCTGCAAGTTCTTATTCTTCATTCTCTTGCCAGAACCATCTCCGGTACCTGCTTGAGGGGTGACCTGGCCACCGCTGCTCTGCTCATTCATTGAACAGCTAGCAGTTGAAGACCTAAAAGATGCTGAACCCTGTGTGGGGGGGCCCTGGCGCTACAACAAGGAATCAGACAGGATGCCTGCCTACTGGAAGGAAATTTCCTGAAGGATGCCGGCTATCCTAATGGAGGCTGCAAACGACCAATGCTATGGGCAGGGTGACCATACGCTCCATCCAAAACAGGCCAATTGTGGGGCCGGCCC